CCTGGAGTTAAGCGATTTGCCCAGCTGGTAAGTATCAGAACTGGGATTTGAACCCAGACCTTCAGACTCCAGATCCAGTGATCTTTCCTCAATACCACAGTGGTTCTTTTCATAAGATCCGGTGATTCCATGTTCATTGTTCTGAGTGAACACATTGTATTAAGGGACATGATTTTAGTTTTGATTTAGGCCTTGCTTATAATCAAATTAGGTGACTGTTGTTCAGTTGTTTTTCAGTCTTATCTGACTCTTTGTAACCCTGTTTGAGGTTTTCTTGGCAAAGATACTGGAGAGGTTTGCCATTTTCTTCTTCAGGTCATTTTACAGATGAGAAAACTGAGGCAAAGAGGGTTAAGTGACTTGCCCAAGGTCACACAGCTAGTCAGTATCTGAAGCTGGATTTGAACTCAGGTCTTTCTCTATCCACTGTGCCGCCTAGACTTCTTTAAATTGAACATATTCCCCTAGATTGTCCATGTTCCCCTTTATTCTAACAAAGATGGCACCTAGAGACAGTTATAGAGTCTTACATCATTAGCAGTCTTGGTGATCTCTTAGGTCCCTCCCAGTTCTGATTCCACTGAAGTAAAGAGAAGCCTCCCATTTTACAGATGAGGAAACTGAGCTCAAGGACAGAAAGGGAGAGAGATCAAAATCAGGCAGAGACACAGAGATAGAATCAGGACTCCTGAATTTTTCACACGTTGCATCTCTTTCCCTCCTAATTTTACACATTGGGTTTGCCTGATGTTTCGTAGTACACTATACAAGATACTGAGCTTAGGCCTAGAAATCTCTACCCACTCCACTGCAATGAAGGCACTTGAAGAAATGGAAGCATTTTCAAAACCATGCCTACATGACAGAGACACGCACCACCTAAAGAGCCATGAGAAGCCTCAGGATGCATTGAAAATGGTAAGCATTTGCCTCCCTGAGCCGGCCACCTCTGTAGAAAGTGATCCGACCATTTACAAACACACAGCTTCCTACTTTATTCCAAGACACCCTCAAGTATTTGGTTTACATTGCAATCAGAAGAGGCCAGATCTGAAGATGTCAGCATTCTGGAGCTCATGGAGGGGGCAGGGAAAATGCCAGAGCTTTTCTTCCTGTCCCCCAGTAGAGTCTTGCTTTGTGGTCCTGGGGTGGGCCAGGAGCTGAGCATCATGAAAGTAAAAAACTCAGAGACTTTCAGGAAATTAACTGGCACTGGAATGTAGATGGCCTTGCCAAATTCACTAAGGCCTAGCAAGATTTCCTATTGGGCATCACAGCCTCCCGACAAGGCAGTGGAACTTTGGGGGCCGCTGCCAAGTTCTCACAGAACCTTTGAAGAGTGAACGCAAATGCACAAAGCCACAAGGACTAGGGAGGGAACAGTCACTCTCAGGAATCCTTCTGCAACTGCGATTACATCATCCCCTAGGAGGCTGCTCTGGTGAATCCAGAGCACAATGCCTCTGGCTCTCTCCCTTTTCTTTCCCTCCCTCTCTCTCCCCTTCTCTTTCTTTCTTCTTCCCTTCCTCTGTCATTCTCTGTCTTCCTCTCTCCCTCTCTAATTCTCCTTTCCTTCCTTCCTTTCCTCTTTCTTTTTTCTTTCTTTCTTCTTCCTTCCTTTCTTTTTCCTTCCTTTCTTTCTTTCTCCCTCCCTTCCTCTCTCCCTCTCTCTTTTTCTCTTCCTTCCTTCCTTTCCTTCCTCCTTCCTTTCCTTCTTTCTTTCTTTCTTTCTTTCTTTCTTTCTTTCTTTCTTTCTTTCTTTCTTTCTTTCTTTCTTTCTTTTCTTTCTTTCTTTCTTTCTTTCTTTCTTTTCTTTCTTTCTTTCTTCTTTCCTTCATTTCTTCCTTTCTTTCTTACTTTCTCTCTTTCTTTCTTCCTTCCTCTCTCCTTCTTTCTCTCCCCCCCTCCCTTCCTTCCTTCTCTCCTCCCTCTGCATGGATCCCAGGACAAGCATAGTAAGGCTAAGCCAATGGGATAGGAGGTTGGTATGGGGTAAGGTAGGTCAGGTCTGTGTCACTAAACATGAGAGCATAAGACTACCTTGCAAAGGCTAATGAGTCAGTCCCTTAGTTATGGGCATAATGCTGGATTTAGAGCTAGAGAACCTGGGTTCAAATCCCACCTGTATGACCTTGGGTAAATCACTTAACCCCCTTGGCCTTAGTCTCCTCATCTGTATAAGTGAAAAATCCAAATAGATGACCTCCAAGGTCTCTCCCAGTTCTAAATCCATGTTCTTATGACATATTATCTACAGGCAGTTAGCATAGAATTAGCTTGAGATCTGGCCATCAGCGTCAGAAAGACCTGGGTTCAAGTTCTATGTCTGGCATATACTGGCTATATGACCCTGGACAAGACCTATAATCTCAGTGCCCTAGAAAATTCTCGACAACTCTATATTGCAGAAAAAGTGCCAGGAGCTTCCTAAACAGATGAAATCAAAGGTCTCCGGGGAAAAAATGTATTCATTACCCATAGCTCTACTCTCTGCATTATTATTCTTATTTGGGTTCAGACCTATCAGTGGAGGGATCTCCCACTTTAGAAAGAAGGAAGCAAACAATTTTTATTATTAGCACGTAGCTAGGAAGTGTCTAAGGTCAGATTTGAACTCAAGTCTTCCTGACTCTAGGCTTCGCACTGCACCACCTGACAGCCTATGACAGCTTTGGAAATTCTCTCTACCTATAAAGATTGGTAACTCATGTAACTTTTGATCAAAGATTTTGAGTTGGAAGGGAGTTCAGAGGTCAACTATTTTGCACATGAGGCAACTGAGGCCCAGAAAAGAGAAGTGACTAGCCCCAAGTCACCGAGCTAGTAAATGGCAGAGGCTGAGCAAGAACCTAGCTCTCTGAGCTCCCAACTTCGTGTTTTTTCTAGTGTATCTCTCAATTAATTTGGGTCACCAGTTTTACATTGGTCAACATTTCCGAATGTTATCTCCTTTCTTTTGGATATTGCCACCTCCTTCCAATGGGGATAATAAAATCTGTTCCATAGGGGATATCTTGGAGATATCATCAGATCATATATGAAAAAGGCCTTCAAATTCTTAGGAATAAAGTGCTTTATATAACTCGCAGAAATAAATCTTCTTGTTGGGAGAGAAAGAGAAAAGGGCACAGAGGAGACTCAGATTGGAGAACAGACTGTCCACTCCATCAGACTGGCCTCCTCATTGCCTTCCCAACGTTTTTCCTTTGTACCTTGACATTTTCAGGGGATGCTCTCTTTTCTCTCCATAATCACTGCCCATCCTTCAAGGTTGATCTCAGGTGCCACTCCCTGACCACAATAGTCTTCCTCCTCTCTTAATTTGCTTTCTAACCCTCTCATTTGGCACAGATCACCCACTATCTTGTACTGGTAGTCTTTTTCTGTATCTAGGGCTCATCTCCTTTCTAAAATTACAAGCTCCTCTAGGGCATTTACAGGCATCTGATGCATCTCTATAACCCCACAGCACCTGCAAGAATGCTTTCCACATTGTAGAACTCAGAAATGTTAGTTGATTTTTTGGGTAAGACAAAACACTCAGTTTCAATACGCTTTAGTCCTTCAGATAAACCTATGTATTTTGGGACCTTTTAGGAGCTATGAAAAAAACAAAAACATTTTTCCTTTCACATATTTACTTCAATTCCTTCCATTTTCCCTGGGTAGCCTTCATATCACACAGCTGCTAAAACTTTTCATATATATATAGTATGTGTGTATATGTATGTATATCTGTATACACGTATACATATATACACATATGTGTATATTACTTGCATACACATATACATACAGACATGTGTGCATGCATATGTGTGTATATAGCACACACACACACACACACACATATATATATATATACATATATATACACACATATCAGTTCATATCAACTTTCAGCTCAAAAAATCTTCAGTGGCTCCCCATTGCTTCCCAGGGGCAACTAGGTGGTGCGGTGGATAGAGTACTGGTCCTGGAGTCAGGAAGACTCGTGGTCCTGAGTTTCAATCTGGCCTCAGACACTTCCTAGCTGTGTGACCCTGGGCAATTCACTTAACCCTCTTTGCCTCAGTTTCCTCATCTGTAAAAGGGAGTTGAAGAAGGAAATGGCAAACCATTAGAGTATCTCTGCCAAGAAAACCCCAAATGCAGTTAGACACAAGTGAAAATGACTGAACAACAATTGCTTACTGAGTCAATCGCCAACTCCTCCACTGAGTTTTCATAACACGGCTTCTATCCCACCCTTCCAGCTTAATATCATATTACTTCCTTCTATAAAATCCCTGCACCAACCAATCTGGACTATTTCCTACCCCCAAAATCCACCCTTCCCCACAAAGGCTTTGGCTCACATTTTCCCTGTTCCTGGAATGCTCTCCCTTCCCTTTGCTTATTGAAGTTCCATCCATTATTTTTAGACCATTTAGTCCAATCCCCTCATTTTATAGAGGAGAAAACTGAGGTTCAAAGAGATTACTCATACACACAAGACCTAAGTAAGTAGCGGTTGTGATTCGAATCCTGGTCTTCAGATTCCGGGCAATGCTGCTAAAGCCCATCTCAAATGCTGCCTCCTCCAGGAAGACTTTCATGGTTTGTTTGCTAACAACCATTCCGACTGGATCGCACGGTCTTTTGTTCTGTCTCTCTCTAATGTGCTTTTGTGTAATATGATATAGCAAAGCTGTCTGTGTTCACATCCCCACAAGTTTTGCTGGTCAATGTGTAACACCCGGCAGCAAACACACTTTCAAGTTTAATCTGCATTTTCAACATTTTCTCCATCACTTTCTTAAGTCTGAAAAATCACCGAAGCAGTAAATCAAGCCCTGGTTTTCTTAGCGTGCGGATTTCTCAGGTGTTAATGCTCACACTGAAAATTTAACAATCGACTTTCCAGAGCCTCTACAAGTGGCTCCAGCCCCTGCTTATCCTCCCTTTCCACGGCTTGCTCTCCCAGACACCAACCCACCCTCACGCAGGTAGGTACTTACTTGGGATTTCTCCGCCAACTTCAGGTGCACCGCCCGTTTCCATAACCCTCTCGCAGAGCCCGTATCTAATAGCAACAAGAAGATGCACAGAGTCTGGGGAAAGAAGATGCCCCAGCCCCGGCGTTGTCCTCCTTGTCTGTAACCTCTGGGGACCATTTTCTTCCTAAGCGATGCACAAGGCAGAGCCCAAGTGGTGAAGGGCTCAGAGCGGAGGCAGGCAGCCCCGGACGGGGGTGGGAGGGGTGCAGCCTGGGAAGGACCAGCTCCCACCGTGTGTGTTCTGCCCAGAGCCCGGCTTCGGGGCCACGCGCTGGGGGACTTTCTTGGCTCCCCTTGGATTGGGGTCCTTGGATCCTGAGCTCACCCCGAGCACGTGTTTCTCCCTCAGTGATAGCCTGGGAGATTATTTTTAGTCTTCCTCCACATCTGGCACGCAAGACAGTTACGTTCAAAGCTCCAGCGTCAGATCAGACGACAGCTGCGGGGGGAGGGGGGGAAAGTCTTGCTTGCAGACAGGCGTGGGCAGGGCAGCCTCTAATAAGCGGCCTTCCCAGGCTTTCCAAGATAATAAGCACTTCCCATGGACATTCCGTCCCCTCCCGGGAGGTGTGCTGTTCGGTGGGTTCGAACAAGGAGGGGAAATGTCCCGAACCCATAAGCATTCATTTCCACAGAATGTAAAAACACATGTATTAACTTAGCTGGTGCTAATAAAATCAAGTTGGTCTTTTACAATCGGAAAACGCCTTTAAATGAAGGAAAAGCAGTAAAAGAGAAAGAAACCGCCCTTATTATATTAACTCATATTTCTATAGTACTTTTAGGTCTACAAAACACTTTTTAGACGAGCTTCAATAGTAACCTATATTATAATTATTCATTTGCTCACATTATCTCTCCTCCCATTTCCATCTGTTGAAGTCTCTTCCTTTCTCCAAAACCTAAGTCACATGTAGTCTGCTCCATGGAACGTCCCCTCCCTCTCCCTGTTCTTGTTCAGTTGTGTCCAACTCTTCCTGACCCCATTTTGGAGTCTTCTTAGCAGAGACACTGGAGTGGTTTTACCATTTCCTTCTCCAGCTCACTTTTACAGATAAGGAAACTGAAGCAAAGAGGGTTAAGTGACTTGTCCATGGTCACACAGCTAGCAAAGCGTCTGAGGCCAGATTCGAACTCCCAAAGATGAGCCTTCCTGACTCCAGGGCTAGTGCTCTATCCATTGCACCTCCTAGTTGCTCCCTCATTCCCCCTAGAGAGCTGTAACTGGGAATTTTTGCACCTAGAGCAAATACTGCAAAAAAGAGTCCAGGACAAGCAGCTTAACAGTTGTTGGTGGCAGGATCCAGTGATCCCAGGAAACCAGGAAACCTCTGCTGAGTGAGGATTCTCTCTGACCTCAGGAATTGACTTCTTATTTAAATTAATAATTCTGGATAACTGAATCAGTTCTCTATCTATAGTTAGACCACCTACTTGTTAGAGTAAAGGTCAAAATTAGCACAAATCTGGAAGGAAGAAAAAAAATGAGAAAAATATATGATGTGCAATTAAAACAACTCTACCCTAACTCTTTAAACAAATTATTGATTTTTTTTCCAATGGGATATGCACAGAAGAAAGGATATTGACTTAGACTACAGAAGTTTAACTGGCATACGTTTAAAAACAAATTTAACAGATGAAGATCAATTACCACAATAAAATTATCTAAAGAATTTTAAAAAGCACTCTAGACGGGAAATACTTAGCTTACTTATCAAGCAGCAGAAAGATATGGCAACCAAGGATGACACTAGTTTAAAATATAAACTCATTTGTAAAATCTTATGGAGAGATATGATTAATCACTCAATAAACATTTATTAAGCACCTACCACATGCCAGGCACTGTGCTAAGTGCTAGGGATACACACACGTCTCAAGGAATTCACAATCTAATGGGTAGATCCATATCCAGAATAATAAAAAACTATAAGCTGTATCATCTCATAAAGTAAAAAGAAGCAATGGAGGGTCAAGCCACTTTAAAGAGACTTTAGTGAGGGACCTAACTAAGCAGTCATCTCAAAGGTATTTAAGGATGAAAATGGAAGTACACCCAACAAACAGAAGAAAAAATGGAAAATATCACAAGGATTTTTAATGCAAACTCTTTTCACCATCAAGTGTAATACAGCCACCACACTTGAACTCCAACATCACAATCCCAGACATGCTTATAGAAGAAGCAGAAATGGTGCTAAAGAGAACAAAGATCAGAAACCCAACTGGATTAGACCAATTGTACATCAAGGAGTTCCATGCTGGAACTGGTGACACAGTTTTGAGGGCACTGAGGAATCTATTCATAAAGTAGATGAAGTAGTAGAAAATACCAAAGATTTGGAGAATCGCTCAGACTACATTCATATATGCTATGTAACCTGTTTAGAATCAAATTTATAGGTCTATTATATGGTATATAATAATACCCCCCAAAAAACAAAAAAAAATTATTAACAACTACCAACCTCTATGCTTATTTTTTATCTTTTAAAAAATTTTATGAGAATAATCTGCATATTCATGAAGGCATCCTCAATGAGAGGATTAAGAAGTAACAGGAAAGTGTTTGCCAACAATATTACACAGTATGGCAGCACATATTTATCATCGCACAACTAGATGAAATGTGCAGAGAATTCAATCTCTCACTGATCCCTCTGTACTTACCCTTTGTTGATTATTTTAAAAAATCATTTGATTTGGTAGAGGCAGATTCCCCCTTAATGTTCCTCCTCCAACAAGGTGTCTCCCACCCATACATCAAAATTATTCAAGATTCTGTGAAAGACGTAACAGCAGAGATCACTGTTTGATGACCCTCCGGTTATTAACATCAGGCAAAGCATACGATCAGGGAGACATGCTCAACAAAAATATTCACTGCTATCATGGAGGAAATCCAGCACAGAATCCAACTTGAAGAGGTAATGCATATAAATGGTTCAGTCCTCCTGATGATCCTATTTGCAAATATCGTTATGCTGATGCCCTCAAATCCTAGAATTGCAGAGCCTTCTAGAAGAGATCTGAAAAGAATTTGACCTAATGATCCATAAAGGATTCATAAAGGAAAAAACTGGATGAAGAATGGCTGTTGTTCGGATTATGACATGCAAATCTATTAGCTAAGTCTGTAGAGCTTGTCCATCAATACACACACACACACACACACACACATACACACAACATCACATGGTCAGCACTTTGGAGAGCTGCTAAATGAAGAGCTTTGGGTTATTGTATATCATAGCTAACCGGTTTTTTGTTTTATACCCTCTATTAGATTGTAAGCTCCTTGAAGGCATGTACTATATCTTATTTAAACTTTCTATCTTTCCTAGTTCCTAGCAAGGTGCTCTGTGAACAGTAGATGTTTAATAAATGTTCGTTGAATTTTCTGCATTCCAATTTTATCTGTAGTGTATAGGGTCATGGTAGAAAGAACACTGGAGTTGATATCAAAAGAAACCTGGGTTTGAATCTCATTTTTCACACACATTAGCTATGTAATCATGGACAAATTATTTATTCTGAGTTGCAATTTCCTTATCTTTTGAATGGAGGTAATAATTATAATATCTCTTTCAGATTATTACATTGATTAAATAACTTATACAAAGTGCCTTATAGACTTTAAAGCCTACATAAATGTCAGCTATTTTGATGATTATTTGGATTTATCTTCCTTAATAAAGTATAAGGAAAAGATCCCATTTTTAACTCTTTTTGAGGGGTCTTTGCATTGCCCAGTACAAAGTCTTGCAACATGGTAGGCACTCAATATTTTTTTAATTTAATCACAGCTACTTATCAGGAGAGACACATTGCAACATGGTTGGCACTCAATAAATGTTTGTTTAATTTAATCACAGAGACACATTGCTCTAGTTGGCAAATGGTGGGACCTGGAGACAGGGAGGGAAGGACAGGGTTAATCCATGGTCAATAATGCCAAGTGACATTGACTCTGACCAGATCAGGGTCAGAAGCACAGAGATCAAGATCTGGGTGAAGACGTTGTAGCCAACAGGAAGTGGCAAGGAAACAAGGGATTAGAATCAAGTTACTAAGCCTGGGAAATCTGGAATGCAGGAGGAGTCAGGTTGCTTAACTGAGCTTGGAAGCAGAAGAGAGAAGTGTCTTTTCAGACTGAGAATGGGGAGAGATAAGCATAAGGTAGGCAAAAAATGCAAGACATTGACATTCCTTTAGCCTAGGATATTCACAGGATTGGGGGCTGGAAGAGTCTTTGGAACATAAAATGTCAAAGCTAGAAGGAACTTTAGAGATCATCTAGCCCATGGGTTCCTAACCTGTTGGTACATGGACCTCAAGAGGCAGGAATAGATTTCAGGGAGTTCATGAGAAAAAAAGCATCACTTCTGTATTTTCACTAACTTCTAACTGAAATTTAGAATTTTCTTCAATTTAATTCTCAACATTCCGAGAAAGGATCCATATGCTTTGCCAGTTTGCCAAAGGGGTCCATGAAATGAAAAAGTTTAAGAACCCTGATCTAATCCAATCATGTCACTTTGCAGATAAAGAAACAAGCCCAGAAATGAAGAAGATCTGTGTCCAGTCCTGTCTTTACCATCTATTCGTTATATGACCATAAACAAGTCACTCTATCTCTCAAGGCCTCCATTTTCTCACCTATAAAATGGAAGCGCAGGTCTAATCATACTTTCTACCCACCTCACTCATTGCTTTGTAAACCAGAAAGCATTCTATGAATGTATACACCTAGGTTGATATAGATAATTGATAGATAACTACATATACATACAAATAGATGATAGAGACCTAAATATAGACAGACATGATAGGCAGACAGAGAAGGGGATGGATAGACAGATAGATAATAGATGAATAGATAGGTAGATAGATAATAGATGGATACATAGGTAAATAGGTAGATAGATAGACAGACAGATATTGTTATTCCAAAAAATTGCTCCTAGCTGAGTATTGAGAAGATAAACCCAGGGACTATATCTTCCAGCTTTATAATTTCCATTTTGGTATATAGAACCTTTGAAGATTTGGCTAAAGCATCGAAGGAAGACTTTGGTGGAGATTGGCACTAAGACTAATAATGCCCCCTTCTCCACTAACATCCTCATCTGAAGCCTAATAATGGCATGGTGGTGATTCTGGGTTCTTGAAGTCTGTTCAATGGAATGTAAGCTCTGGCAAGCCCTGCCAAGCTGGAAAGCTGTCCAACAGGTGACAGACTATGGGTGTGCCATTTGCGGATGAGCTCAATGTGGAAACACTTATCACTGGGTTGGCCACAGGTGATGAATATTTTGATCCTAGTAACTTGCTGGAAAATGGTCTACTAGGGCACGGGGCAGGGGAGAAATGAGGGGAATGCCATCTACCTTGGGAGTGGTGCCAAAGAAATCATGGTTTCCTGTAGTATTAAA